GAAATGCTTTTGCTGCTGCACTCCGCTGCTGGAGACTGCAGCAGCAAAACCAGCAGCAGCAGCGAGCAATAAACAATTAAAATTATTCTTTTAAATTATACATTAATATTAAATTAATCAATTCATTTAATATTATATAATTATATATTTCTTTTTACTTATTTTGCTATCCACAGCCCTACAAACTCTGCAGCAGCTCTTCATACAACTTGCAGTGTACGTACACAGCACGTAAAAAGTATATATATAGCTGTTGTTTGTTTTATTTATTAAAGTATAATTTTAATATATATTCATTTAACTCATACTCATTTTGTTTGTTTTATTTATTAAAGTATAATTTTAATATATATTCATTTAACTCATACTCATTTGCTGCTCCTAATGCTGCTGCTAATACACCATAATGTAGCTGGTGCGGAGTTGCTGCTGCTGCTGCTGCTGCTGCTGCAGCAGCAGCAGCTGCTGCTTGTGTGTGCACTTGGATTTCTCTCTCTCTCTCCCTATTTTTGTAGCACCAGCCTGTTTGTTCTGCTGCTGCTGCTGCTGTTGCTGCTGCTGCTGTTGTTGCTGCTGCTGTTGTTGCTGCAGCTACTGTCGCTGCGGTTGCAGCTGTTGCTGCTGCTGCTGCTCTTTTGTTAATATTGCTGTTTTTCTTTGTTTTGTTTTATTTTTTTTAATGCTTGCGTCTTCCTATCTCTGGAGTTTGCTGCAGCACTTCTATTTTATTATTTGCTGCAATTAATTTAACTATAATATAATTTAATACATTTAAGTTAATTAATTTAATTAAATTAACTTCATAAAAATTAATATAATTAAATTAAATATAATTAAATTAATTATAATTAAATTTATTTTATTTTATTTATATAAACATGTCGTTAAAATCAATGAAGTTCATCTTTCTCAGTCTTCCATCAGCACATACAGCGCCTCCTCTTCTTTCTCTTGGGTAGCAGGCGGCTGCTGCTGCTGCTGCTGCTGCTGCTGCTGTTGCTGCTGCTGCGGTTGCTGTGCTTGATGCTGCTGCTGCTGTGGTTGGGGCAGCGCTCGCTGCTGCTGGAGCCATTGAGCGTGCATCTGCTGCTGCTGCTGTTGCTGCTGCTGCTGCTGCAGCTGCTGTACGTGCTGCTGCTGCTGCAGCAGCTGCTGTTGCTGTTGCTGCTGCAGCAACTGCTGCTGCTGCTGTTGCAGCATCCGCTGCTGCTGCATTTGCTGTTGGTGCGGCAGAGGGCTATGAACATGAAGAGCAGCAGAAGGGTCCCTCTGCTGCTGCAGCAGAACCTGCTGCTGCTGCTGCTGCTGTTGCTGTTGCTGCTGCTGCGACGGGGAGATGGGCGGCTGCTGCCTGGGTCGCCGACTCGCCATCTGCTGCTGCTGTTGTTGCTGCTGCTGCTGCATTTGTTGGTGCTGCTGTATTTGTTGTTGCTGTTGCTGCTGCATGTGCTGCTGTTGCAGCTGCTGTTGGCGCAGCTGCTGTTGCTGCAGCAGGGCCTGTTGCTGCTGCTGCTGCCGCTGTTGCTGCTGCACCAGGAGTTGCTGCTGCTGTTGCTGCTGCATCAGCAGTTGCTGCTGCTGTTGCAGGAACGGCTTTTGTTGTTGCTGCTGTTGCTGCTGCTGCTGTTGCTGCTGCTGCTGTTGCTGCTGCTGCTGCTGCTGCTGATTTTGCGCGGGCATTCGGTGCTGCTGCTTCTGCTGCTGCTGCTTCTGCTGCTGCACCTGCTGCTGCTGCTGCTGCTGCTGCTCATTCTCTGGTGGCTTGAGCAGCAAAGCAACGTTATACACCTAGAAGCACAAACACCTAAACCCTAGACCCTAAACCCTAAACCCTATTCACAGGCCAGCTTGTGCAGCAGCAGCAACAGCAGCAACAGCAGCAGTAGCAGCAGCAGAAAATGGTGGCTCCACAGACAGCAGCAGCATCAACAATCCACCGCAGCAGCAACAGCAGCAGCAGCATCAGCAGCAACACAACAACAAGGCGCCTCAGCAGCGCAGCAGGAACAACAACAGCAGCAGCAACAGCAGCAGCAGCAACAGCAGCAGCAGCAACACGAGCAGCAGCAGACTTGTCCTGCTACTTCGACCTGTGCTGCCTCCATCCCCCTAAAGCAAGCGCCTTCTTCTGCAGCACACAGCAAACCCTAAACCCTAAACCCTAAACCCTAAAGCCAACCCCCATAACTTTAAACCCTAAACAGCTGCCTCTTTCATGTTGTTGCTTCTGCTGCAGTTGCAGTGTTGTCGCTGCTGCTGCTACTGCATCTGCCGCCGTTGCTACTGCATCTGCCGCCGTTGCTGCTGCTGCTGCTGCTGCTGCTGCTACCTGAGTTAGGCGAGACACAAACAGCTGTACAATGTCTGTACAGCAAATCGTTCAACATAGACGGCACGTGGGGGGCATCTGAAGAAAACAAACCCTAAACCCTAAACCCTAAACCCTAAACCCTAAACCCTGACGCCAAGATGCTCCTCTGTTTTGCATTTGCTTAGCTTGAACGATTTATACTCGCCACGAGAAAGGGTTTAGGGTTTAGGGTTGCAAGTGAGGGTTTAGGGTTTAAGGCTCTATACAGTTTAGGGTTTAGGGTTTAGGGTTTGCACCCACCGAAATTCTGTAGAAGGCGCCGGCCCTCCGCCTCTGAAGACACCTCTTGCTGCAGGCTGCACGCAAACCCTAAACCCTTAACCCTAAACCCTAAATTCTAAACCCTAAACCCTAAACCCTAAACCCTAAGCCTTACACATAACCACAAATCGTCAGCATTAAACCCTAAACCCTAAACCCTCAACGGTAGACCCTAAACAATAAACCCTAAATCCTAAATCCTAAGCTCTAAACCCTAAACCCTAAACCCTAAACCCTGCCTACATGGCTTCTGTTTGTGCTGCAGCAGCAACGATAAGTGCAGCGGAGTGTTTGCTGCAGCGAGCGTTCATCCAGCGTAGTCTCCCCATCTTGTAAACCCTAAACCCTAAACCCTAAACCCTAAACCCTAAACCCTAGTAAATCATTTGTTGGGTAGTGCAGCAGTAGAAGGAGACCTGAGATAGAAAAAAGAGGAGAAAACAAACGGAAGAAACAAAAGCATATACAACTCATCTGCTGCTGCTGCTGCTGCTGCTGCTGTTGCTGTTGCTGCTTTTGTTGCTGCTGCTGCTGCTGCTGCACAGTTACCTGCTGCTGTTGAGCCCTGTGCTGCTTCGCGTTTAGCAGCATCATTCGCTGCTGCTGCTGTTGCTGTTGTTGCTGCTGCTGCTGTTGCTGCTGCTTAACCCGTTGCTGCCGGTCTTGTTGTTGCTGCAGCCGCAACTGCAGTTACTGGTGTTGCTGCTGCTGTCGTTGCTGCGGTTTGGGGCTGCTGTTGCTGCTGCTGTTGCTGCTACTCCTGTTGCCGTTGCTGCTGCTGTTGCTGCTGATGCTGGTGTTGCTGCTGCTGCTGTTGCTGCTGCTGCTGGGTGTCTAGAAAATGTATATTTTTGTTTTGTTTTGTGTTTGTTGCTGGGCTTATCGTTTAGGGTTTTATACAAAAAAATAAATAAATATTATTTTATATGTCCCCCTATAATTATATTTATTTTATTTCTTTTATTCCTCCATGTAGATTTACAAACAAATATTTATTTTTTATATTTAAATATATTTGCTGTTGCTGCTCTGCTTTGGGGTGTATAGGCAGCTCCGTCTAGCATTCAAGATATTTTTTTCGTTTTCTTTGGCCAATTAAAACCTCAAATAATTCTTTTTAAATCCTTTTTAAATGCATAAAACAGAAACACATTAATTGCTGCGCGCATCCATAGGCTTGGCCCTAATTGAGCAGCAGAAAGGCATGCAGCAGCAACAGCAGCTACAGCAGCAGCAGCAGCTGCTGCTGCTGCTGTTGCTGCTGTTGCTGCCGTTGTTGTGTTTGTGGATTAGAGTTAAATTATTTTTTGCTTAAAAATTCGAATTTCTTTTTTGTCTTTTGCTGCTACACAACGGAGCTGTCTCTTATCACCCCGAAGAAGCACCGTCAGCAGCAGCAGCAGCAGCAGCAACAACAGCAATAGCAACAGCAACAGTAGCGGCAGTAACAACACCCCAACAGCAGAAGCTGCAACAGCAACAACGAGGGCAGCAGCCCAATCAGCAGCAGCAACAACAGCAATAGCAGCACAATAAGCAGCAGCAGCAGCAACAGCAGCAAAAGTAGTAGTAGTAGCAGCAGTAGTAACAACAGCAACAACAACAGCAGCAGCAGCATCATCAGCAGCAGCAACAGCAGCAGCAGCAGCAACGACAACAACAACAGCAGCAGTAACAGCAGCAACGACGATGCAAACCCCTCCTCCATCAGGGTTTGGCGAGTTGCTGTGCAGCAGCAGCAGCAACGGCAGCAGCGACGTTTTATACTCGCAGCAAACAGCCGGAGGTGAAACCTATCTGTTAGACCCCACAACTGGTAACAAATATATCCCTGCCTCCGTGCGGGAAGCCTCAGAAAACCTATCCGAGTTAGAGCCGGATATACACCCAGAGTCAGACAAACCCTAAACCCTAAACCCTAATAAACCCTAATAATCCCTAATAAACCCTAGTAAACCCTAATAAACCCTAGTAAACCCTAATAAACCCTAATAAACCCTAATTAATTATCCCTAATAAACCCTAATAAACCCTAATAAACCCTAATTAACCCTAATTAACCCTAATTAACCTTGATAAACCCTAATAAACCCTAAACACTGATTAACCCTAAACCCTCATTAACCCTAAAGACTAAACCCTCATAAATTTTAAACTATAAACCCTAAATGCAGTTATATATATATATATTTGTATATACGTGCACATATATGTACATATTTATATATACAATTTCATACATTCATATATATATATATATATGTAATACTAAGGAATAGCATTTAAATATATTTATATTTATTTTATGTTAGGAAGAAATGAGTGGGTATCGAACGCGGCACCAACTGAGCCAAGAACAACACAGAAAGACAGTCAGCAGCAGCAGTAGCAGCAGCAGCAGCAGTAGGCGGCAGAGGAAGAAGAAGCAAGGAGGAGGAGGAGGAGCAGCAGAAGCAGCGGGCGGTGGTGCAGCAGATAGCATTTGTAATAAAATGCAGGAATTAAATATATCAAACCAATCAAAAGAGAAGACAGATAATAAAAATAATAAATCGGAAACATCTACAGATCCGCAGAAGAGGTTCGTCGTTTGTTTTTTTGTTTTTGTTTGGTTAATGTATTACTCCTGTCGCTGTTTGTTTGTTTGTTTTTTTGTTCTTTCTTTTATTCATAGTCTTTCATAGTCTTTGCCCTTATTTATTTATTTATTTATTTATTTATTTGCTTGTTTATTTGTTTATCTGAGTTTGCTGTCGTCTTCTTCTGTCTTCTTTACTTCTTTATTTGTTTGCTTTGTTTGTTTGTTTGTTTATATTTTGTTCGTTTGTTTGTTTATTTAAACATTCTTGAAAACTTTCTTTATTTTGTTTGTTTGCCTTCTGTACATCTTTTTTGTGTTTGTTTGCTGCTTTATTATTATTTTTATTTTATTTGTCTATCGTTTATATTTATTTATTTTTGTTTGCTTTTTCTGCATTTGTTTATTTATTTAATTCTTTATATCGTTTGTTATAACTTTGATTTTTATATTTTAATTTATTTCTTCTTTATTAACTCCTTTTCTATTTATGCATTTAATTTATTTAATCTATTTATTTATTTGTTTTAACATACTGTATTTATTTATTTATTTATTTATTTATTTATTTATTTATTTATTTATTTATTTATTCAGACTTCGCAACTTGAAGAAGAAATTAAATGAAACGGCGGAATTACAAAATAAAAAAGACAGAGGAGATGCACTTACACCAGAGCAAGAAGAAGTGAGTATATAAATAAATATATAATTATATA